CAAGAACCTGCACCTTACGGGTGTGTGGTTAGAGATGCCCATCTGTGAACAGCCGAGAACACGCCTCGACAACAGAGGGGTTTGTGCCCGGTCCGGGGAGGGAAAGGGTCTTTGCCAATCCTGACCCACCAAGCCACCTTCTGCTTCTGAGTGACCCTACTCACGACCAGGCATTTCCCCACGCATGCCCCTCCGCATGTCGTGCGCCGTCGCATTCACTGTAAGGCCAGGAGCCAGGGGAGCCACATCACAATGACTGTGAGTTTTATTCAGCTGTCCTGGGACAGCAAGTGAAATGTCACACAAACTCCTGACTGGGGTCCTGCTAATTCAGTGCCAGGCAGGAGCCTTCTCCTAAGATGATTCTCAAAGTGAGAGAACTAAATCTATTTTCATTGCTGGCTGAGATCTACTTTAATCAGAATTATCTATCACTTTGGTTATTTGGGTTCAACTTGTTTGCTGAGAGATGAGTAAGTGCCTGATGGTCCCTATGTCTGCAAACTTTTTAAATTGCACAAACATTGCCAAGGACAAGGAATCTGGGGATTAGGAAACTCTAATAGTTTAGGAAGTCAAGTGAAGCGGGGGTTCACACTAACTTGGCTGTACAATAATCGTTATGAGGTCTTGGGATGTTTTAAAAACATATTTAGCCAAATAATACCTCAATATTCTTTATCCAGAAATTACTATTCTGCATGTTTCTCCCTGCCCCCCTCCCAAAAAAGAAGGTAGGTTACATACACGTCTGGAAAAGGAGGGGTGGGGGCAAAGACTCATAATACCCAAGTGGGACACTGTTCGGGACGGGGTAAGATTCTCACCACCACACTGTGGGTGGGAACGGGGCCAGGCCCTCACATCTGCTGAGGTGAAGCGAAACCTGTTCAGAATGGAAAGATCCCGTTACCAGCGGCCCCCATCAGGCTCTGCTGTGCTTCACGATGGGATTTACTGTGCCCAGAGCCTTGCAGAGGTGAGCAACCAACCTCGTTTCAGTGGTCAGAGAAAACCTCCTGCGAGAGGCATCAGTGACACTAGCGCTTCAAGGACAGACAGCGGCGGGCAAGTTGAGAGGCAGGCGAGGGGGCAGGGGTGTCACAGGCTGGCGAAGGGCAGAGAAGGCAAGGACAGCCACAGCAGACGGTCCTGGGGCTAAGTGGAGAGTAAGATGGGCAGGGGCACACCCTCAGGCTACTCCAGTGGGGGCTCCCAACTGGAGTGGCCTCTCCCCGAGTGGCCTCTCCATGAGGGTCTGGCAAATACCCCAGAACAGAGCACCTCATGGGAAAGACAGGGGGCACAAGTCTTCCCGGTGGGGAACGCCATCGTGAAGGAGCGCTGGATTTTGGGGCCCTGGACTCAGGCTATGCGGCGTTAAGGTGACGCAAAGCCTGGGGAAGAGGCTCCTGTCTTAACGGAGACGCCAAGCTCCTCTTCCACACGGGAGATGGAGCGCGGCCTGAAATCTCATTTATGTGATTCAAACACAAACACAGTGAAGTCCACGTGCCTTCTGAAAGTTGATAAATCACGCCTAGCCAAATACAAAGATAACCAAAATTTTAGGGCTGGCAAGTGAGACCATTTTTTCATGAAGAGAGAAAGTAAAAAATGCAATATAACTAGGAAGGCAAAGATTTGGGCGGCTCGCTTCCCTTTCAGCTGGTTTCATTTCCCTCCTTGGGTGAAGACAATCCTGATATGTAAATATCCCACTGCAGAGTTACTTCCAAAGTCCTGTGCAGGGATGTTTATGCAAAAAGAGTTATTTCTAGACTTCCGTGTGACAGATAAGGCATATGAAGCACTGGGACTTAAAAAAATAAAGCTAACCAAATATACATGCAAAGCAGAAGCAAATAACAAAAGTTTGCAATTTTAACCATTTAGAAATGTTCTAAGAGTAAAAAAGTGGATGCTCTGTGACTTTAGGAACGCTGCAGTCAAGGGTGAGCTACCGGGGGTGCTAAGTGGCAGCTACAATGTTAAGTGTTTGGGACTTCACTGGTTAAAATTCCTCACGATACTATCACATGGGTATTCTCTGTTTTAATGTACAGAAACTAAGTGGGATCAAAGGCACAGAGTGATTAAGTGTTCAGAGCGCTTAAGTAAGCAGGCAAAGGACACAACTTCGAAAGCGAGGAGGCTAGACTGTGCCTCCCATCTAGTCAACAATGAATCTCATTCTCTTTCAAGAGACCGTGCAGACCTCGAGCAAAGCAAGCGACTGAGGACATTTTCTCCTTCTTCACGGTTCTCTTAAACATATGCCATCGCTTCAAGGGGGAGCTTATGCTAAGCATGACCTCGTCGACAAATCATTTGTGAGAGAGAAAAACCACATCCAGGGTAAAGTCATCAGTTGAAAAGTCTCATTTCAGACAGGACTTCCTGAAAGAGACAGAGCAGCAACTGCAGCGAGCGAGCACCAACTCCCATACCAAGAGTTATATTTGAAACAACTTCTTAAAGCACAAGAGGAGCCTAAAACAAGAGAAGTACAACAATATAAAGACACCATTTCTCGAAAGAGCTACTTTAGCACAAGCAACTCAAAGGTGTCTCTTTCATGGAACGGGGTAACATTCTCCTTGCCACCGCCTTCTGATGGACAGGAGGTGAGTACAACTGAATTAATTTTATCCACAGATCCTAAGTAATGCCGTACTTAATTTAAAAATAGTTAGTTAATAACACATTACTGAAACTGTGTTGGCGGTGGACCTTGAATGGGGTATGCGGCCTTCTTCCCGCATCAGTAATACAATTTTTATTTGTTTTCAACACTCACATTGATAGTAAATGTAATTTTTTCCATCTTAACAAAATGTGTGTGATGTGATAAATCACATGTATATTTGAGAGTCTTTGTCATTTGGTTGTAATTATTTGTTTCACAAAATGTATTTAAAAATTTTTAAGAGAAGAAAGATTACAGACAATGGTGGGATCTAAAGCTTTTTGAAAACTGACTCGAAAGCCTATCACTTTTTAATATTTATCCCAAAATACACCTGAGTGCGCAGAACACAACCTATAGGGATAGTGCCTTTAAAAGCTATCTCATATCATTTTCTCAACCTTAAGCAAATGAATATAACTTTTGGTAACATAAAAGCAGCCTGATGCCAACGGGGAGGGGAAGATTTATTAAAAAACTGATTTTTAAATGGGACAAAGTTAGGGGGGGATAAGGATGGGCTGAGGGGGTCCTGATGCAATCTGAAAAGAGAAAAAAAGGATTCAACATTTCATTTACAACTACTACTACTATTTAAAAACTCTTCTAAAGTTAATAACACTGAACACTTCAAGATACTCTCCTTTATATGATACTGGGGATTTGATTATGCAGTACTTTTCTCATTTGATAGAAATGAAAATTCTAGTTACACTAGTATTTGGACATTTGAATACAGAGTTTAAATATATAGAATTCTACTCCAAAATCATTGAATGTAACCATGGCATAAACCAGCTACAGTCAAGGAAGAAAGAGAAACACTTGGATTTTGTGTTTGTTCATGGCTCAAATTAATTGTAAAGTAGAACAGCCCAGGATGCCCCTCACCAGACTGCTCTGAAAACCTGAGGGGTTTTCAGTCATAGGAGACTCAGGGCTAGCTGTAGGCCGCCCTTCTGCAAAGCGACACTCTTGAAGGAAACTTTTCACCCACCTCCATGTGTCAAAGGCTGCCACAAAGTTCCACCTCTTTGTAGTAAGTTTATTTTTGAAATCATGGCGGGTGGCATTGCACCAGAGGGAGTGGAAGTTTCACACTGGGGGTCAAAGCTCGTAATAATCACAACTAAACTCCTTTCCATTAGAAACGGACATTTTTTTGCGGGGTGGGAATTTATTAGTGTCTGTGTACACACAAAGTTACCAAAGGGCGTATTCATATATGTCTTTAATATTCCCTTTTGAAATTTAAGCATCAAGCAGTATGTAGGCACCTGCATCTGGACAGGGCGAGAGCAGGAAGGGCACTGTGCCGGAGATGCTGTGTTTCCAAGGTGCTGCTTTCTGCGCAGCAGTGACATCAGCTTCAGGAGCTGCGAGGCCCTCCAGAGACGCACTGGGCGGTCTCCAGTGCACTGTGAACTAGGAGTCAAGTGCTAAGTCTGCAGACCATGGCACCAGGCTTATTGCCAGACCTATGATAATGCAGAGAGAACACAATAATACAAAGAGTTTCTCACTTAAAAAAAAAAAGGCTTAAAGGTCAACTGAGTAAGTCTTTGCAAACTGGAGCCTAGGTCCTGTGAGTGACCTCCTGTGGGTCACCTCACCAAAGCTTGCTTCCTTCACTTATCTATCCACTCAGCAAATGCTTATTCACTGAGTACCTGCTCTGTCCCTCCAAGGCAGTAGGGATTTAGCAGTGAAAAAGAAAATGTCCCTACTCTCAAATGAGAATTTCTGTCAATATCCAGCAATCTACCAGTTACAAGGTCTCTATCAGTTTTCTATTACATATTGCACCCATTAAATTGGTAGTCAATGAGTGAAAACTGATATTTGAACATTACTAACTGGGTTACAAAATAAACAGAATGAAGGTGATAGAGCGGCAAACTATTTTTGTAAGATTCAAAATTGAGGCTGTCTGTCTCCAGTGAGCTCCCTTCGAGAATGCTCATGTAGGGACAACTGCTGCCCAACTTCACACTGCAGGAAAAAAAACATAAGGCAAAGTGCATTCCTTGGGGAAAAAAAGGAGGTGGACAGAAAGAGGGCAAATAAACACTCTGGCGCTGGCAGTGCATTACAGACTATTCTAACAGGTTAGTACGTCTTAGCAATAGGCAGCGAATGTAGTTCTTAAGAAATACCAAGACACGTATGTTGAGTCCTCAACATAATAAGTCTTAAAATTGACATCCACTGACGTGCCAAGTCAAAGGTGAGGCTGTTCAGCATTATTTTTCAACAAAGGGTTTTATCCCGACTTTTCCTTTTTACTATTTGACAGCTCCTAAGAGTCATGCCCAAGAGCCAGCCATAAGATGACGACCCACCCCAACCAAACTCAGCCTGGCCAGGCTCAAAGCGAACAACCTGAAGAGTACAGAGTCGCGGCCCTTGTCTTCTACAGTTGCATCTTGGTCATTGGGTTATTTGTTAATGTCACCGCCTTATGGGTGTTCAGTTGCACCACCAAGAAGAGGACCACTGTAACTGTCTACATGATGAACGTGGCATTACTAGACTTAATATTTATCATGAGCTTACCCTTTCGAATGTTCTACTATGCCAAAGAGGAGTGGCCCTTTGGGCAGTACTTCTGCCATGCCCTGGGGGCGCTCACGATGTTTTACCCCAGCATCGCTCTGTGGCTGCTGGCTTTTATTAGTGCCGACAGGTACATGGCCATTGTGCAGCCCAAATATGCCAAAGAGCTTAAAAACACGACCAAGGCCGTGGTGGCCTGCGTGGGGCTCTGGATCATGACCCTGACCACCACTGTGCCCCTGATGCTCCATGAAGACCCAGATAAAAATTCCAACCACACCTGCCTGAAGATTTTAGACATCATCCACTTCAAATTAGCTAACCCGCTCAACTTCACTCGACTGATACTCTTCTTCTTGATCCCACTGTTCATCATGATTGGGTGCTACTTGGTGATCATTCACAGCCTCCTCCACGGTCAGACGTCTAAGCTGAAACCCAAAGTCAAGGAGAAGTCCATAAGGATCATCATCACGCTGCTGGTGCAGGTGCTGGTCTGCTTCACGCCTTTCCACATCTGCTTTGCTTTCCTGATGCTGGACAGTGAGAAGAACAGCTACAACCCCTGGGGCGCCTTCACCACCTTCCTCATGAACCTCAGCACCTGCCTGGATGTGATTCTTTACTACATCGTTTCAAAACAATTCCAGGCTCGCGTCATCAGTGTCATGCTGTACCGCAATTACCTTCGGAGCGTGCGCAGAAAAAGCTTCCGCTCAGGCAGTCTAAGGTCGCTGAGCAACATTAACAGTGAGATGATATGAAGGAGAAGAAGACTTTTGTCTTCCATTCTTTTAAAATTCACTTGGCTAACTGCCCTAGGGGCCGTGGACATTCAGTGTGACGGATTATCAAGTCCTTTCGCTCTTAAAAAAATACAAAAAAAAAAACACAACTTTTACAACGCTTTTTGTGAGAGCTTATTACGGCAATAAGATTAAATATTCTGAAGCATTCTAATAATTATCTTCAAAACTTACATCAGAGAGCTCCGTGAGTTACTGAGAGAAAAACATGCACTTTGTGCTTCTATTTAAGCCCTGCCTAAATACATAAACGGATTTAATTTTCTGGATTTGACTGTATGTGCTAGTGAGCTGTCAATCAAGTTGGGGGGGATATCCAGTTGCTGATCAAAATAATGAGATTAAATTATTTTGCATCTAGATGACGCTCCCTTTGGTTTTAATTTACACTCAGGATTCATGTTCTAAACACCAAGCTTCCAGGATGCTACACAAACTACTAAGTTCAACTCCTCACTGGGACTTGAAGAGCAAAGCTAGAGGAAACAGGCAGCATGGGGGCCTTCTGAGGCTGTCACCTCAGCCTGCTCCGACTCTCAATGCGTTTCACACTGAGAGCTTACTAGATGCCAGCTTCCACTTAAAACCAATGGTGGAAACCCAGCTTGAGATTCTGCCTCTACCCAGTAATGCAAGGTCATTTCTGTGAGATGAAGTTCCCACTATATGCTGAAATATCTTTCTCTAAAATAGTTTGCTCTTCTTAAGTGATTACACCTCATATTATAGCAGATATTTTTTTTTTCTAGGTCACATGTCACAGTATTAAATAGCACTAGTCAGGGACCTTGGACTTACATTCTAATCTTGCCACTTACTGTGCCTGAATGAATTCACAAACTAAGTCATTTCTCCATTTGAAAAGAAAGTGAAGTGAACCATAATCTGTGAAGTCCATACTATTATAAATACAGGAAGTACATAAATGATTCAACCATATCTTCCTCTCTGTTAAATCAACTTTATGACTTCAACATGATCACTTCCTAATGGCACTTAGAACGAAAGCAATGCATTGCTTACACATGATTCCCATCACTGAAATGTGTGCATTCATATTCTTTTTTTTTTTTAGGAGTGTTTTTTGTTTTTTTAAAAGATTTATTTATTTATTTATACAAGCACTGGGTACAGTCAGAAGCACGGGAGGGTGAGAGAATTCACCAGAGCCAGAGTGGGGAACAGAACAAGCAGACCGAAGTACACTGCTGAGGGGAGCAGCGGGCACGGCAGGAGAGGTCTGTCGCACCATATGGGACCCTTGCCCGGCATCCGGGGATCGAACCGGCACTGCAGAGGCTGCGGGCAGCTTCGCAGCCCAGCGCTCAACTGCTGTGCCACCAGGGGAGGCCCTGCATTCTTTTTTTTTTTTTTTTTTTTTTGGAGCACTTTTAATCCCAGAGTAGTGTTTCCTTCATTTGTTATATTTTTTTAATTTAAATTTTATTTTTATATTCCCCACACAATTACAACCCCCTTATTTTGACCCCAATCCCTCCTTTCCCCACCCCCACCCCCCCATAGAGTGTCTCTGGTTCATATTTGTTTGTTGATTTTGATATTTTCTTTCTTTTTCCTGGTCCCTTATTTAAGTTTTCTAGATTCCTGCTATGAGTGACACCATCTGGTATTTTTCTTTTTCTTTCAGGCTTATTTCGCTGATTTCATATTCTTAAATGAAAAAGACAAACACAAAGACGCCTAATCTCCCAGCATTTTAGTCCTGAGAGATTTCTTAGATGGTTTTCTAGTCTTGATCCTTCTGTTTTAAATGTAAAGAAACTGAGGTGCCAAGAGGTTATGTGACTTGCTCAAAAGGATCAGAAACCAAGTTGTCCTTTCAGGTCAATCACCAATGTCAACACTAAGAAGCAAAAGTGCTTACAGACTGCAAACCTCCTCAGAGCTGCATGACATAAAGGCATCACGGGGGACTGAGATGCAGTGTCTGAAGAAAGAGAACGCACTTCCTGAAGCCTTTAGTTTGAATAGTCAAGTGGGCGAGCTACTTTAATAAATATCTTTAAATGATAATTTCTTTTTAAAGCAGGAGTAATAGCTCCTTTATTGATCTGGGGTTTGTGGCTGTACACACAGTCTTAGCCTGCTCTCATGGTCAGATCTCTCTGCCCTCGTGGAAGTCACTACATGGCCAGCTCTCTCTCTCTGGTGTGTGTTGGGGGGGGTAGCGGGAGGATTGTGCAAAACCCGACGGTCAACCAAGTACAACAGATGTCACGGTTCTCACAATAAAACTCTACGTGATCTAAAACACAAAATTCATTTTATTCAGCATTTTAAGCAGATACATTTTAACATGAGATGTAAAAACTCAAAATTCCACCAATTCTGGAGGGGCTTGATTCTGGGAAACAATGTGTACATGTAAATACTAATTAAAAAAGACTTATCAGAACAGATGTGTGATGTGTAGAGGTTACTAGAAGCACCTAATGATGAGACTCTACTTTCAATACCTAGTAACTTTTTCTGAAATACAAATGAACAGTTTGAATATCTATCAGGACCATTTCTATGCAAAGCACCAGAGATGAAAAGGTCTACGGTTCAAGACTGCCTTAGAGTCTTACGCGACTATACTATAATCAGGACCATGCCCTCAACATGACTGGACAGAAAGCAATGAGCACATAAAGTAAAACTATGTCTCCCTCAAAGAACTGCTAGAGTGGCACAGGAGAGCCAGATAATGACAATGGCAATGCAATGTAATAAAGGCTAACAGGGAGATTAATAAATTGTTGGAAGGAGATTAATTCTTCCAAAGGGTAGCAGGGAGCAGAATGAAAGACATGCAGATATGAGAACACAAAAGCAGAGTAGGGTAAGAAAGGTCAGTGACTAATGGAGAAGCAGCTTCAGACACTGGGTGGGGTCAGATGATGAGGGTTCTGGAGAGAAATAAGAAAAGCAAATATCAGGGGGAGGTGTTGCTATTGCTAGGATGTTTGCAGAAGAGAGCTCCACTGCCCTGTTAGGTAAGAAGGAGGACCCTTCATTTACACACACATTGCATATAAACTGAGCTCAGGAAATGGAGCCTGAGAAAAGGAACTTGCTTAGTGTTATCCACAACTAATAAATGGCAGAGCTGGAATCCCAGATCTGGCCCGTCTCATGGCAAAGCCCACACCACACACTATTCCCAAATGCCTTGATGGCACACTGGAGTTTGATTTTTACTCTGAAAGAAATAAGGTATTAAAGATTTTTAAATGGAAGACTGGCATGATTCAATCCTGTATTTTTGGTAAGATAACTTGTGACAACATTGCATAGAATGCTCTGAAATTAATAGAAGCCTAGTTAGAGAATCGGTGAAAAAATCTTGGCAAAAGATTAGTGTTTATTTTTTTTTTTTTTTTTTTTTATTTTTAAAGAGGCATGTATTTTTATTTATTTATTTGTTTGTTTGTTTGTACATGCACTGGGTACAGTCAGAAGCGCGGGAGGGTGAGAGAATTCACCAGAGCCAGAGCGGGGAGCAGAGCAGGCAGAAGGACCGAAGTACACTGCTGAGGGGAGCAGCGGGCGGCAGGAGAGGTCTGCGCACCATGTGGGACCCTCCTCCGGATGGCCGGGGAGCAGCCGGGGATCGAACCGGCGCCGCAGAGGCCGCGGGCAGTTTCGCAACCCAGCGCTCAACCGCTGCGCCACCGGGGAGGCCCAAGATTAGTGTTTAAACTGAGATAATGACAGTAGGAAAGGAATGAACAAATGATTTATATACAACGTCACATTAATAAGGCTTGGTGCCGACACTATTGGCAGGGAGAGAAAAGGGAAAGATTCCCAGCCTGTTGACTGAGTAGCAGGAAATGCAGTAACTAAAACAAAAATACAGAGGAGTGGGGTGAGGGTACAGAGAGGAGGCAACTGAAGAGATGACAGCTTCTGGACGTGATGGGTTCACCTTGAGTCTACAAGTAATTAGAAAAGCTGACTTGAAAGGTCAAAGGAATAATATGGACTAGACCTAGAAGGTTGGAAACCAAAGAAGAGAGAACTACAGTTGGAGTCATGGGTGTGGGTAAGACAGTCCCGAGAAAGCACTTGGACTAAGCAGAGCTGCAGATGGTAAACAGGGTCAGAAAAGACCAGCAGAGAATCATGTACTGGGACTTAGGGGAGAAAGAAGCTTATTTCATGAAATAGGGGTGGCCAAGAACATTTAATGTGCCACTGAAAGTTCAAATAAAACAACTAGAAATAAGTTACGCTTTTAGAAATGAGTGGTTGCTGGTGACCTTTATAAGAGAAGTCTTAGTAGTGGTGAGGTTAAAAAGTAAAAAGAGAATTAAATAGGAAGTGAAGAACTGTAGGGTGTAGATAATTTGGCACTGCCGGGAAAGAAAAAACTAACAAGATGTTATGTGAAAAACTGTGCAAATTTTAAAGCAATGAGTTGTTGAGGCTCTGCTAGTAACAGACAAATAAATAAAAGGTATATGAAAATTGCAAAGTTTTATTCACTGAAGTAAAGATTTATGTTCCAAGGCTGTGACTGAGAAAGCTTCAAGATTTTACAGTGTCATAGTGAACTATTTCATGATTTGAAAACAAGAATACATTCTCATTCAGGCTGAATTAACTATTCACATTGTCTTTCAAAAGTGATGCTATAGCTTCTGGATTTACTCAAGTTTGCAACTTAGTACAAACTAACATATAATTATGCCTTAAGAATAAATAAAATATCCCCACCAACTTCAAAATTGAATTAATCCCCATTTTATGGGCCAGTTAATAGAATTCCATGAAGAAATAAATGTCATTCACATAAAGACATAATGGTCATTCAAGTCTGTGCAATAGGAGAGAAAAAATGAAATCAGATGGGGACAATGTACATGTAAATTCAGAGCTGTGTTATCACCACCCCCAACATTTATTCTAATAAATGCATATAAACTTTTCATAGTTCATTAACCAAAAAGAACTGGTATGTATGCAAAATGTCAGAGGGAAACGAGCAACGACACAGGCACTGCTTTTCTGAATCGACGTGGCCCCACTCCTGGGGGCGCCACCATCTTCCACAGCAGCACAACATAAAATCGATTTTATCATATCTCAAATATTATATATTAAAATAGTCCTTAACTGACTTTCATGTACAATAATGCTTAAAGCAGACTTAGGTAGCCACAAATTCAGTTAATCTTTGACAGCTACTTACAACCCGGAAGGCAGGTTCCTGGCTGCAGCGATGCCGAGGGAGTACTGCACAGCCTCCACGAGGATGAAGTCCACCAAGGCCGACAGGACCCAGGAGCCCAGCAGGAAGGACTGAAAATAGAGCAGGAAGATGACGGGAGGAAGTGCAAAAAGTGATTGAACATTTATGTTATTAGAACCAGCTCAGGTAGGTAGCTCTATACAGACATATATTAAGTTTTTTAAGATTTATTTATTTATGCGTATAAGAAGTAGGGTACAGGCCAGAGGTGTGGGGGTGAGAGGATTCACCAGAGACAGAGTGGGGAACAGAACAGGCAGACTGACCGAAGTACACTGCTGAGGGGAGCAGCGGGCAAGTCAGGAGAGGTCAGCTGCGCCATGAGGGTAGCTGCCTGGTCGGCTGGGGATTGAACTCATGCTGTAGAGGCTGCGGATAGCTTCATAGATTGTGTCTTAACCCCTTGCGGCACCAGGGAGGCCCAAGTTTTTTGTTTTCATTAATGGAGTAAAACCATAAACTTTTCAAAATGGAGTAAAACCATATTGTTCATATGTACTCACCTCCATGATTCCTAAGCTGAAGAAATGATATTTAGGACCTCCCTGCTGGCGCAGGGGTTATGTTTCAGCACTATCAAGCTATCACCAGCCACTACAGCACAAGTTCGATCCTCAGCCAGGGGCTGACTCACATGGCGCAGCAGACCTCTCCTGTCTCCCCACTGCTCCCCTCAGCAGTATATTTCAGTAGATCCACCTGTTCTGCTCCCCACTCTGTCTCTGGTGAATCCTCTCACCCCCCCCTCTCCCATGCCTCTGGCCTACCCACAGTTCTTGTAAGCATAATAAATAAAAATAAATCTTTAAAAAAACAGAAATATTTATAGGATAATTTATTTTTAACAAGTTACACCTGAACTAGTAAGCAAAATAAGTTACTAGAACTTACTAAGGTCAAAATCCTAATTAAAATTTATTACCCATTCACAATGGGTATTTGTAATCAATGCTGTCATTATTATTTTGTTAATGGTCTAAATTTAAATTTCTTCTCTGGTTAATGTCCATGCTTCAAATCAGATCCCAGATCATGTAATTGAAAGATAGTTGTTAAGAGATCATGCTAAGTGAACTCAGTCAGGAAAAAGACAAATTGTGGATGTTGTCACTAAGATGTGGAATCCATAGAAACGGGACGAAGGGTCAGATAAAGCCAAGGTCAAATACTAAGCCTTGAAAACTGACTACAGAAGAGGAATGTATAAGGGAAAAGGGGTGGGCAGGGAGTGGGGAAGGGGGGCAGGAACAAAGTGGGGAGAGCACAGGGATCATGGGGGTGGACTGTGGGTGTTCTGGTGGTGGGGGGTGGGAGCAGCATGGTAACAACACCTGGAAGAGGGGAGCGCAGGTCTTATACTTCCAAAACACAAACAACAATGTAATAACAATGTAAACCAATGTTACCTCAATAACAGATTTAAAAAAAAAAGATAATTGCTAACAATGACATTGAATTTAACAAATAAAATTATTCTTAAATAAGAAAACAAAAGCATTTTAAAATACATAAAAACTCACTGCAAATTTTCTGCTTCCATATCTTCTTTCGAAGACCCTGAAGTTATAGATAAGCAAACTGCTGCAGAAAGTATCTTTCAAGTCAAGGCAAATTATTCTTCCACAGATCAGCCTCCAAATCTGGATGAGGATTTTAAGAAAAACAGCGAATGAGAGTAAGGTTTGTCCAAGCATCTTTCACAATGAATTTATTGTTTACCATACACGGCTCCTTTTTTATGCTCTGATTTAAGCAAAATAACGATGTCTTCACCCTACAAAGGTGCCCTAAGAAATGAGTTCAAGTCTCTTACACTAAAAATTCCCATCGTATAATGGCCCAAAGGGTTCCTGACTTTCTTTGGCTTATTATGAGAAGAAAATGTATTCTCATTTAAACAACAGAAATTTTCCTGTAAAAAAAGTTTAGGACTGTGTTTAGTAAAATTTTAAAAATTATAAACATGAGCGGGAATGAAAAGCTAATAGATGTGCATTTTTATGCTACCGAATAAAACAAAGTTATAATTAAAAAATTATATAGGTGTAAACCCCCAAACATTCATTTCTGAGCTTATATTTATGATGGACCCACTTCACACAGCAACTAGGTACAAGGCAATTTATGGCAATTGTTACTAAATGTCATTAAGTTTGAATTTTTAAATAATTTAACTTTCGGTTTACTTAAATCAACTTCTGGTTGGGCGGGAAACTATGAGGATAGAGAAAGAAGAAAGAGTGACGCAAAGGTATGTTTTGAGTCTTACGTGTTTCTCAGATTTTAAAGCTAATCCCAATGATGTCTACACAACATTCTGATCTCATTTCCCCTTCACAGTCCTCTTGTAAGATAGGCAAAACAAATATCAGCCCTAAAATATACATAAATATACCACTGTCTGTTTCCAAAACTATTTCACCACAACAGACAGAACCCCCCCCATCCTTCCTACCCCTCCATGCCTGGTCACCCTTATTCTACGCAGGCCTCTGTGAACTTGACCACTCGGCATTTTGTACATGTGCCAGAACTTCGCTCCTCTCTATGGTGACGCACTACTCCAGCGTATACACACCCCGCCTGCTTAAACTCGTCAGCTGCTGAGGGACTCTGGGCTGCTTCCCCTTCCGGCCACCGTGAGCAGCGTGGCCCTGAGACTGGCACTCTAACTCTGTCTTAAAGAAAAGGAGGCACAGAGAAAGTTTTTACTTGTCCACGGTCACACAACTGGTGTTCTTGCCAACAGAAATAATAACAAATAATAACAAAAACACACACGAGGAAACAGACTGTACCAGCTGTGAAAACAGTTCACCTCTGCACCTACTCCCGGCCAAGCAGCCATGGTCATCAGCAGACTCCCAAATACGAGCCCCTGACCGGTTTGGGGCGGGGGGTGCCTGGAGCTGATTTCACCTGCTCATCTAGCTGCTCCGTCACAGCTGGCTTCCAGGACAAATGGCACCAGGAGAGTTAGCAATGGCCACCCCGGACACACAAGTGGGACACGGGTGACATCTCCAAACTAGACCCGTCTCTTCCTCAGAACCACACTGAGCGTCAGCAGGATCAGCGCTGCGAGCGCGCTTTGTGAACGGCACTCTACAGGGTGACGGTGGCAGGGACTGTCATCTTGGCGGAACAGCAGGTGCAGAGACGAAGGAAGACAGGCCACGCCTTCTATCCCCGCATAACATCCCAGCCAGAGTGTTTGGCTCCGTGCACAGCCCTCAGGACCACCAGGAAATATGGGGGATTGAGGAAATAAGACTAAGGCAGAACAAACTGGATTTAGAGGACTGCACTGTTATTTTTAGTTAATGGAAATCAAACCTCAAGTTGCACTTTTAAATAATTTCTTTTGTCACTATGCTCAAGGACACAAAGACTGGAGACAGGCGGCAGGACTAACTCACTGGGCATGACTATGAGGCTGACCTTGGCCTGCACACAACATGCATTGCTTCTGTGTGGCCGCCTGACAACATTGCAGCCTGAGCTCCCCAACCTGGGAGACACTGACCTTAAAAAGGAAAGCTCTTCTTCACCTGCCCCTGCTGCCCTCGCCCTGGCTGACTTGCCTTTGCCTTGGGCCCCGCCTCCTACACAGCCCTGCTGAGGTCTAAGGTTCTCGTTGCTTCCTAAGAAAAATGCCCTTTTCTCTCTCCCCTGAATTAATAGATATCCTTTCCTTCAGCCCTGACAGAAACTCACTAAGGCTCTCAGGAGTCCTACCCTATGCTGCTCCCCCTTTGTTTATCACCCCAAGGACTAAATTCCTCTGTCTGACAGTGTCATCTTCATGTGTGCCTGCTCACGCCTCCAAGGCAGGGCTGAGCCTTCCTATCTCTGCAGCAGCTCTCAGGGATGCCCACCACAAGCCCTAGGGGCTATTCCCGGTCCCGGGAGGAGTCAGTGGTCCTCCGCGAGTCAGTGATGCAGAAGAGGACACTTGTCCACCAAGCCAAATGAACCCCCAAATCAGGTCGGTACCACCCCTTTCATTCCTTTACAGCAGTGGCTCTCATAAGGCCATACTCAGGAACCCGGAGTGGGAGGTGGTCTCTTTTGAAAACACACCAAAGCCTAGGCCCAGCCGCAAGACCCTCTGACTCAGGTGTATCGGGTGCAGTCAAAAACAAGCTAATTAAATTTAAATGTATTGTTTAAGTTTATCCATGTGATTGTAATGAGCAGCCAGGGTTGAGAACCACTGCAGGTGGCAACTGAAATAAGGACGCCGCGGGAATGCGGCTAAGCCCACCCAAGCAATGGCAGCGGGGCTTAAACTGGCCACCTACGGCTTTAGCAAAGGCAAAGGTGGCAGCTCATACACCGTCTCGTGCACTCACACGCCCTGTTCCCGGACGAGATCTAGCACCAGCATTTTCAAGACCAGCTCCTCAATCTCAAAAGCCAGAGGTCTGCTCTGCCCATGACCAGGACCCAAAAGAAATTTCCCAGATGGTTCGGCCACCAACTCTCACAGTCATTCAGGGATTCACGATCTGTCGGAGCGGAAAGAGCACAGATCACCTAGCCAGTATTCAAGCCGCGGCAAGTTTCTAAAAATGGTAAGTACGTGGAGAAATCACGAAGGAAACCACCAAACAGTGGCGTTCCTACCCACACGTTCCCACGCGAAACCAAAAAGACACGTGCCTGGTCAGAGGAAATACAGCACCTTCCTCAATAGAATCTGCTGGGCCGAAAATACCAATAACACAGCTAGAAATTTACTGGTTAATGGAGCGTTAATAATAAATAGTGCTTCATGCAAAGGCAGAGGGTTGAGGGATCAACAGCAGCAGAAAGAAAAGGCAAATCAAGGTGGGGGTGGGGGGAACCTGCTTTTCTCCCCCCAGACCAGCGAGGCGGGGCTCACCTGCAAGTCGTGCTTGACGGCCTGGAGGTCGTACACGAAGAACCTCTGGCAGTGGGGCAGGAGCAGGGCCAGCAGGAGGGACAGGGCGCTGGGGACCAGTAAGAGACTCTTGGACAGAGGCGCCTTGTCTGGAGGGAAAAAGAAAAACACTCTCAGAACGATTGTTCCTAAGGTTTAAAACCTCACCCGAGTGGAAAACCAAGATCATTAGTTCACTTTTTTTGAATTGGAATGGAGACAACTTGGACAGCCTCTGGAGCCTAATTCTGGACATACACTCCAAAGCCTCTGCCTGCCGGGGCGGGTGACCAAGGGCACCGGGGACAAGTGGGATTCGCTGGCAGGGGTTTCACCGTCTGCTGGCTGAGACGAGACACAGTCAAGGTCATAGCCAGCAACGTCCACACAACGCCTTTCAGAATGGTTGTCAAGCTGTGAACAGGCAGAAGAGGGTGTCTCACCAAATCGACCGCTTAGCTCCTGCGCACGCGTGGGTTTCACATACTTATTTTTTTTTTAAATGACAACGCAGCGAACAGCCTGTCTGCAGTGACTGCTGAGGCTCGCCCACACGTGGGCTGCAGGCACATCAGTGTCCCATGGGAATCTAGTCTGGCTTCTGAGGCTTGAAACTACAGCTCGAGTTCCATCTGCCCCACCCCCTCCTTCAGGGCAGCTTCACAAGCCACCTGAGCCCGAGGGGCTAGCTTCCCGCTCTGCGCGCTTGTCCCAGGCAGGCTGGTCAGGGGTCGGTGCCAGTTTGGCCCTTCCCGTTATGGTAAAGATTCCGCGACTCTCTGGTGGCCACAGAGTCCAGCCCAGCCCCTTGCTCATATGAAATGTTCAGCTCCACAGGCAAGACCGCAGGCTGGAATCACTGATGGGGACCTTCTCGGACTGGGGGTGAGGTTCACTTTAATCACCTTCGGAAGAAATTTCCTGAGAGTGGGTTTACCAGTTGCAGTGGGCACTGTGGTTACTGCATTTGTTTAGGTATATAAAAATAGCCCAACTGTTTCCTCTCTGGAAGGTCTTGCAAACCTCTGTCCTGGGACCATGAGTGAAGTGGCTGCACAGCGCCCTCGTGACCAGCACGCAGTCGAAGCTCCAGGGCATCCACATGTGGACAGAGCTCCCCAACCTGCGGCTCAGCGTGCGCCCCACTGCCAAGGGCCTCAGGGGCTCAGGGGATCACCCTGGCTGTGAGCGTGACCAACCCGAATCCTGTCTTGAATGATCTGAGCATCAGTTTTCCTCCCCTGGAAAATGGGGATAAGAGGACCTGCCTCAAAAGTAGTCTGAGAAGTAAATGAAATAAACCCTGAAGAGAGGGAGAGCTGTCCCGCGGCCGCAGCCCCCACACCCAGACAGAGGCGCCCCGCTAAAGAAAGGCACGCTCCTTATCATTCTACAGAGAGCAAAGAGGGGCTAAGGTGCACCCTGGAGGGCAGCTAGGAGCCGTTCCTTCTTCAACGTGAGCGCCCACTATCCTGGTGACACGGGATCCGTTCCCTCCTGCCTCCTCCTCGACAGTCCCTGAGCATCGCTGCAGAGAAGCCCCCGGCTGAGCTGACAGACTCCACGGCTGCTCCAAGAGCACCATCTCAGACTGCCAGCTCCCCACGGAGGGCCAGCTCTCCAGGCCACTCTCCAGCTGCTACCTCAGACCGTCTCCCCCCCTCCTGTGACTTCCTTGTTTCACACTCCCAACTTGGCTTCCATGTCGCCAAGTGGATGAAGGGATGGTTGGCCTTGGTGTTCTCAATCAATATCTAAAATTAAGATTTGCCTGCTTGAGATCTTGCACTATCCTTGGTCCTGGGGTGCAGGGACCAACAGTGGACAGCCTCTCCCCGGAGGCGCTTAGTCTAGACAAGAGAGAAATGAAAACCCACAGCACCCAGTAAGTGTGTTATGCCAGAGGGAAAAACCAAGGGGGTAAAAAGTGTGGCTGTGTGACCCAGCAGGGAGTCCCCAGCCTCCTTCCAGCCCTGGGCAGGGCTGCTGCCCTACCTGCAGGGCGATGTGACTTGAGATGGTGGAATGAAGGCGATGTGGGGCAGACCTGCCAGGTGACCAACAGAGGGGACTCTAGGAGAACCCCATCTGCACAGGCCCCAGATAATGCAGGCTGTGTGCCACTGCAGCAGTGCTCGCCACGTCCACAGAGTGGCTAGGAGGCCCTCCTGAGGAGGTGAGGTGGGAGCAGTAGGGAGTGGGCTGTGCTGATCCCGGGGGGCAGAGACATCCGGCAAACAGAGGAAGCTGCAAGTGCTCTGAGCAGGAACACACTCAGCGTGACTATGATGGCTGCTAAGCCTCTGACATAGTGACGGCTCAGGGGTCCAGAACCAGGCCGGCAGCCTGGCAAGACACCAAAGCGGCATGCCTTGTGTAACAGAATTGAATGCAGCTGTGAAGGGAGGTCTAAAAAGAACACAGCCTGGGGAGGGAGCAACACAGTGGTGGGTCCTTATTCAAAGCTGAACAAATGAAAGCTTCTCAAATATATATAATCCCTCTGATGCGAGAAAACCTACGTCCAGGAATTCAGCCCAAAGTAATCATCAAGGGTATGCACAAAGATCTTGCAACAAAGATATCCTCATAGACTGTTTTATGACTGAAAAGACTAGAAACAACTTGAAGGTCCAGTAGGAAAATGAGGAAGTTATGTTCTAGCCGCAAAATGGAAAAATAATCAATTTTCAAAAATAGGTGCTAGAAAAATATTCATGCCTTGGAAAGACGTTTCCAAATAGTAAGTGCAAAATATCTCTAATAGCGTCATTACATACTACTTTTCACTCAAACAGTGTATAATGCCTGTATCTATCAAAATATTAATGGTGGTCATCTCTGAATGGTCTATTGATGGGAGATTTCGATTTTTTATTAATATCTATTGCCAGAATTAGTGAGCACAATTTTTAACTCAGTACTAATTTAGTAAAAAGGTGCACTAAATCCCTGTGCACTGAGGGAGGCAAGTCACTAGCCACCTTCTGGCTTCTCTGTGAGCAGGGCCAGGAAGTGGTTCGACGTGAAGAACCCAAGCAGCCAGCAGAGGGAAGTGTAAAAAAAAGTCACTTCTCTGCAAAGGTCCTTCTACCTTTAAAATAGGGATGTTACAAATTTTGAAAATAAGGCAATACATTAGCCTAAAAGTAAAAATGCAAAACATCTATGGCAAAGATAACAGAAAATGCCAACGTTGCAGATGCTTCCTTTGGGTCACCTGCCTCTGGTGTGCGGGCGGCAGTCATTTCTCTATGGCAAAGGCCAGCTTTGGTGACTGTGCAGCACCCTGAAATAATTATTACAGCACTGGACTGCTTCGTGCCAGCACCACACTAAAAAAAGCACGCTCAGTGCAACACCAGCCCGGCGAACACTCACAGTAACCCAGGGGCAGATGTTCATTATCTGCACGCGTGAGGTGAAAGATGGGCCAAGAAAGATGAAATAAATGTGCCCAAGGTCACGGCTAGTTGGTAGAGGGACTGGGATTTGAACCCAGTTCTGCCTGACTCTAAAAAAAAGTTTTCCTAACATATAAGAAGGAAATACGGTGTCTTTCCGGGCTTGCCTTTCAGTACTTCACACGAATCCTCTAGTTACACACAGAAACACCGTCTGACCCACTCCTCCGCGCCTGGCTCTATACCAGAGGGAGCAGGAGCAGATGCTGAAACAACCTGTACATGAATACTCCTGACATTCCCTAACAGTGGGGAGCGAGTGGAGTCCCTCTGCAGAGGCAGGAGGGGTGCGCCACTGCTGCAGACTCCCTTCCGCCATGGGAGGGAGGAAGCGCCGCTGTGCGCTGCCAAATGGACCAGCTTGAGGACATCGTGCTCAGTGAGAGACACCGGAGAAGACCCCACACTCGACCCCACACACCCCACAGACCCCACAGGCGCAGTGTCCGCAATGTCACAATCCAGAGCCACAGAAAGCAGGGAGTGGCGGGCGGGGGAGGGGGACGGGGGCCCAGGGACTCGATGGGCACAGAGGTTGGTGATGACGGCACCAGCCACCGGCGAGTGAAGGTCCTAGAAGGCAAGAACCGCACACTTTAAAATAGTCCAAGCGGTAGATTTTATGTCATGTGCATTTCACCTGGATAAAAATAGGCGCCTTTCGCAGACTGAAGACATGGACCGCAGGTCTTGCAAAGCCGAGCCATGTGGGCTGTCAGCAAGCACCTCAGCTGGAGAGAGGCAGGGGTGCGGTGGGGGGAGAGACAGGCAGTCGCCCCCACACATCAGCCACATTGAAATACATTCGTCATAAACCCCAGTGTGGTTCACACCCTCAAGGTGGGGCCGCCAGTTCCGAACATACCAGTGTTCCTATTTCTGCCCACTGAACTACTGGGTCACCTTCTCAGGGTTCCCACAAGACTGGGGTGATCTGGTATCTCACAAGTCACTTCACATTTTTCATTAAAAAAGGGCTGAGCCGGAAGCAAGTGTGGAAGTCCACCAGAGCGGGGATCCCTGCACGCAAGGCCACCTCTGCTCCCCGGGGAAGGACTCTCTGGCCTTGGGCTTCCTAACAGGGCCTGGGGAAGTGCTCTTCTCTCTCCTCAGTGGCCATGTGAGGGAGGCAGGAATGTCTTCTGGTGGCCAGTTCAGCCAAGACCTGCATGAGGCCACCCAGGAATCAAAAGATCCCAAGTTTATTTCAGTTGAACCCAATTCTCTAAGACGTTTAGAAGTAAAATGCTGTCGGCCATCCCTGAATCCACTCCGTTTCTAAGGCACCAGGGAGAGTGCAGTGACCCAGGCACCTGCCACCCTGACCGCTCCTCCTGCAGGTCACCACACTGGCAGAGTGCCCGGCTCACGAGGGACGCCAGCAAGCACTTGCTACTGACCAGTGCCTGCATAGTTTATTAGGAAAATAAACAGGAGAAAAGGCAAAGAAGTTTCCAGAAAAAAAGGCACAGAGCAAGGAGGAGAAAGAGGACTCTGTGGGAGTCCATTAGATACGAAAATGTATTCTACCTCTAAAATATTTAGACAGTTTGAATTATGGGGGGGGGGGCACAAAACAAACAAAGGAGTAAAATTTTAAAAGGAAGTCCTGAGCAAAGCCGAACACAGAGGCTCACATGCCAGGG